CTTTAAGGGGGCCTTTAAGGGGAAGGGCTTCAAGAGGGCTTGAGAAGAGCTTCAAGGAGGCTTCAAGGGAGCTTGAGAAGGGCTTTAATGGGGCTTCAAGGTTGAAGGGGGCTTCAAGGGGGCTTCAGAAAAATTTGAAGGGGGTTTGAGCAAGGTTCGAAAGGCGCTTGAGAAAGGCTTGAAGCGGCTTGAGAAGTTTTTGAGAAGGTTGCGCCGCCTGATCACTTGCGCCTCAAACCGATCACTTGCGCCTCCAATACTCACTTGCGCCCCCCAGCCTACTCACTTGCGCCCCCTTCCTTGCCTTCAATGTCATGATCTAAATTCTAAGTTTTATTTAAACTTCCCCTCCCCCTTGCCTTCCACAATGCCATGATCTAAATTTGCAGTCTTTTTTTAAACTTCCCCTCCCTTGCCTTCCACAGTGCCATGATCTAAAATCTAACTCTTTATTTAAACTTCTCTTCCCTTACCTTCCACAATGCCATGATCTCAAATCCAACTCTTTATTTAAACTTCCCCCCCGTGCCTTCCACAATGCCATGATCTAAATTCTAAGTCTTTGTTTGAACTTCCCCCCCTTACCTTTGCACAATGCCATGGTAAACTTCCCCCCCCTTGCCTTCCACAATGCCATGATCTAAAATCGAATTCTTTATTTAAATTTCCGTTCCCTTGCAATTCACTATGCCATAATCTAAAATCTAACTCTTTATTTAAACTTCCCCCCCTGCCTTCCACTATGCCATGATCTAAAACCTAACTCTTTATTTAAACTTCCACCCCCCTTGCCTTCCAAAGACGGGTCAGATCTCCCACCATGCAAGGCTTCCCTCTGGAACGCAAATCACCTGAGCTTGCAACCGATTTTTTCCGTCCAATAAGCAGACGGCCATCTTTGCGTCAATTAGTTAATTCACTCATCTCTGAAAAATGGAATCGAACGTGTTGAACGACCTGGCGAAAGCCAAGAGGTCGGACGGAAAAAAAACGATTTTTTCCGTCCATCGACTCTTGGCTTTTCCAAGTCGATCAAACGCTGGTGCATGAAACGAATTGATTGCAACAGTTGGATCCTGATGCAACTCCCTATACGGCGAAACCCGCTCAGCAGACTCGAAGTGAATGTCTTCTTGCAATTCTCATTCAAACGTTGAAAGATTTCACGAGCGGAAGCACTAATGCTGCAAGCTCATCGAGAGCACTGGCTCTTGGCTGTCCTGTTGTCTTGTTCTTCTGGCACTTCTGTCTTATTCTGCAAGAGAAGTAGGATTTAGCCTGCGGAGCCATGGGCCAGGCTGCACTGCAGCGAGTTACACTGGCGCGATCCAGTGGCAGGTGAGTCGGTCTACGCTTGCAAGCCTGCATCAATGCTGTCGAGCTAGCGATCATCGCTAACTCGATCGCATTGGATTCAGTTTTGAAAGCGGTATGCACCGCAAGAGTGCACTACAGCTCCCAATGATGATGATGCTTGGAAAAGAACAACTGAGCGGACTCTGAGTGTGCCCTGAGTGCCGTAGCTATTGCTGTCATTTTCACCTTAGATCTTGTTTCACCTTCCTGTTTCACCCTTTTTTCGTTTCTCACCACTCTCGTTGCGACCCGGCGTTGTCGGTGTTTGCTTCGAAGTGCCTGGGTGTAATGTCATGCCTGAACGGCTGCTCTTTGTGATCTCGGGGATCCTGGCTGGGGGGATCCCTGGTTTCCGCATGGAGCTTTGTTGCTTCTCTCACCCACCAACGTGGCCCTTTGGTGTGTTTTGTGTTTGTTCTGTTTTGTTTCTTGTTCTGGGCCATTCTCAGAATGACACATAAGATGTCATCATGCATGTAATTCCCATTGCTGGTTGCGATCCCACTTCTCTCTGTCGTTTTTGTTTGGTTTTGGTTTTGGTTGTGTGTTTTTCCTGTTTTTGCTGTGTTGTTTTTGGTTTGCTTTCTTGTTCTCTTGTTCTCTTGCTGGGACAGTTTCTGGACTGCGTACTGGTCCACAACCGGCACTTTTGTGGCTTTCGACAAGGTGACAGCCCTGCATGTAAACTACAATTCAACTGTTTGCCGCGATTGAATGTGTGTAACGACCTGGCGGAAGCCATGAAGGCGTTGGACGGAAAAAAAACCAGTGGCAGGTGAGTGGAGTTTGTTCTAGATTCTTTAACTGAACCCCTTGGCTGCGACGATGCAATGCACTGCAGGGTATTGTACTGGGACGAAGACACTCGGGAAGCACCTGAACAGTTCTGCAGTTTATTTTGGAAAGCAGGCCGGGTCATGACATAATGTTTTGCTGACTCTGCATGTTGTGACAGGATTGTTCTCCCCTTCAACCTGGCACGGTATTGTCTACCCAGAATGCACTTGGTGAGTGGCGGAGTTTGACTGGTCACGTACCTTGCCTTATGGCTGTCCCAGCTACCTGCCACGGAGCTGCTCCCCCCCGTAAGGGGGGCGGCACACTTGCAATTTGGCTGCCAACAATTTACTCTTCCTGCTTCTGAACCCACCGTTCTGTACACGGCAAACACTGTTCGTCTTGAACTGAACACCTGAGCAAGAACTTGTGAGAGGACTCTGAGAGGCTAGATTGCTTTTTTTCCGTCCAACGCCTTCATGGCTTCCGCCAGGTCGTTACACACGTTCGATCGTAGAAAAAGATGAATTGTAATTATCGTGCACGGCTGTCAGTTTGTCGATAGCCACAAAAGTATTGACTGGTAGTGGACCTGTACGCAGGCTAGATTGCAATAGTGTACAGCTAATGCTTTCTTTTGTTGTCAGTCAGCAACAACAATTAAGAAGCGTGTTTCACTTTTCTGGGTAGCAACCAAGTGCATCTTTTTGTGAGTTGCGACACAGTGGCTTTTCACCACTGTGTCCATGGCAAATCTTGGTTGTGTTTGGTTTTGTTGGGCCCTGCCCCGTTCGCTTTTTGCTTTGTTTCTTTGCTGGATGGCGAAGCGCATATCTGGCTGGGGGATTTGCGTTTCGCCCTTTGTGGTTTGTGTTTGTGTTTTGTTTGTGCTTTTGATTTGCCATCTTACATGACCACAGGTGTCTTGTAGACGTTATTTTAAACTGCTTCTTCTCATATAAGGACCGAGCCTTAGAGCGTGATCGGCCATACCAGGAGGAGAAAAAAAAGAGAGTTTTCTTTGCGTTCGAGGGCAGAAGTGTCTTTCTTTCGCGCTGAGTTTTTTGGTAAATACAGTTCGTACAAGGCGTATGCAGGTGTTGCCCAGGCGGGTGACATCATTTGCCAGATGTTGGACTGTCAAGGGTTCGCAAGATGATTGAAACTTTGCCTGCAACTGTGTCCAGGCTTGGACTTGAGATCCAAACAAGTGATCTTACCATCATGCTTCTGCGTTCGTTGCCACATGATGTTCGTTCATACAGCACTTTCATGGGCGGGTGATGCTTGCACGACTTTCGCACTGCAGCGTTGCGTTTTTGCGCATGTTTACTCTTTATTTAAACTTCCACCCCCCTTGCCTTCCAAAGACGGGTCAGATCTCCCACCATGCAAGGCTTCCCTCTGGAACGCAAATCACCTGAGCTTGCAACCGATTTTTTCCGTCCAATAAGCAGACGGCCATCTTTGCGTCAATTAGTTAATTCACTCATCTCTGCAAAATGGAATCGAACGTGTTGAACGACCTGGCGAAAGCCAAGAGGTCGGACGGAAAAAAAACGATTTTTTCCGTCCATCGACTCTTGGCTTTTCCAAGTCGATCAAACGCTGGTGCATGAAACGAATTGATTGCAACAGTTGGATCCTGATGCAACTCCCTATACGGCGAAACCCGCTCAGCAGACTCGAAGTGAATGTCTTCTTGCAATTCTCATTCAAACGTTGAAAGATTTCACGAGCGGAAGCACTAATGCTGCAAGCTCATCGAGAGCACTGGCTCTTGGCTGTCCTGTTGTCTTGTTCTTCTGGCACTTCTGTCTTATTCTGCAAGAGAAGTAGGATTTAGCCTGACGGAGCCATGGGCCAGGCTGCACTGCAGCGAGTTACACTGGCGCGATCCAGTGGCAGGTGAGTCGGTCTACGCTTGCAAGCCTGCATCAATGCTGTCGAGCTAGCGATCATCGCTAACTCGATCGCATTGGATTCAGTTTTGAAAGCGGTATGCACCGCAAGAGTGCACTACAGCTCCCAATGATGATGATGCTTGGAAAAGAACAACCGAGCGGACTCTGAGTGTGCCCTGAGTGCCGTAGCTATTGCTGTCATTTTCACCTTAGATCTGTTTCACCTTCCCGTTTCACCCTTTTTTGTTTCTCACCACTCTCGTTGCGACCCGGCGTTGTCGGTGTTTGCTTCGAAGTGCCTGGGTGTAATGTCATGCCTAACGGCTGCTCTTTGTGATCTCGGGGATCCTGGCTGGGGGGATCCCTGGTTTCCGCATGGAGCTTTGTTGCTTCTCTCACCCACCAACGTGGCCCTTTGGTGTGTTTTGTGTTTGTTCTGTTTTGTTTCTTGTTCTGGGCCATTCTCAGAATGACACGGACAATTTCACCGTAGGTGATGGTTCTTTATCGAAAGAAAAGTGGGATTAAGAATTTTTGAGTGTGCTCAAAAATTTCACGCGCTTACATGTTTTAATTTGTGCCTTGAAAGCAAGGACACAAAAAAAACAGTGAAACAAATCTCAAACGTTTGAACACCACTGTCGTTGTTGTTTCAGTTGCTGGTATCTAATGCCTTTGTTTAGTCTTTAAGGCTTTTTAGGTACCAGGTTTTCTTCTGTGAAAACTTCCAACCAACTAAAACAACAACTTGGTTTTAACGTCCCTCGTTTTCATGTTTGGTTGTGTCCAAATCATGTTTGTGTTCAACCGCGCTCGCCTCAAACAGTTTGGGTGGGTGGTGGGAGCAACTGTTTTCCACTTGTAGGAACTCGCGAAATTGGGTTTTCATGGATGATTAAGTTCTGGACTCTGGTTTTGACCTTTGTGCTCATTGTGACATTTTCTGGATTCATTCCTGTTGACATGTCGAGCCTGTCCACGGAGTTCATTGATGCGTGTGCACGTCAACTGGGTGGCAAACGGTTGCAAGTCAAATTTTCATGGGAAGATTCTCAATTTGAGCAGTTTTTGTCAAAGAAGCCACGGCAGATTTTGATAGCACCTGACTGGATTGACCTCCCAGACGATGATGCTGTTCGGAGAGACGCAATTCCGAAACCAACGCGCTTGAACAAGTTCAATGTCAAGCGCCACATGTCCGAAGTGTCATGGGTAGCTTCAGAGAACCATCGTTTGAATTTGGCTTTACAATGTTGGAAGGTCATTGTGTTGGACAGCACTTCCAATACTGATCTGGGTAAGCTTTTGATGCAATGCATTGAACATGGCAAGAGCGATGACTACATTTGGCAGGTCATCAACGATGCCTTCAGTAGCAGAGCTGCGGCTACTTTGAAGTCTAGAGCAGCTTCTCTGCTTGCCTTTGGACGCTGGAAGAGGTCGATCAGTTGGGGAGCTTCTGAAAGCATTTTTCCCATTACAGAAGAGATGGCATACGAGTATCTTTGTGAGTTGCGGGCGTTGAAAGCGGCTCCAACGAAGGGCAGACGCTTCTTGGAAGCGGTGGGCTTTGCAAAAGGCTTGATTGGGGCCAAAGTCGACGAAGTCCTCTCGTCAGCACGAGTCAAAGGTGCTGCGGCAGGGGCTTCAACAAGTCCTCCAAAGAAGAAGTGGCCCTTTTCTGTGGAGCAGTTGATAATTTTGGAGAGGATTGCAATTTTTGGTCATGGACAAGATTCAATCTTTGCTGGTTACTTGTGCTTCCTGGTGCACTGCAGGCTTAGGTGGTCAGACGGTCAGCATTGCATTCAGGAACCTGTGCTGGACATCCACAACAACAAAGGCTTTCTGGAAGCTGCTCTTTATCATCATAAGACCGCTAACAAACGAAGGTCGAAGGTGGTGCGTTTGCTTCCAGTGGCCGCAGTGGTCCCAGGGATTTCAGGGTACAACTGGGCTGAACATTGGCTTCAGAAGAGGATTGACATGAAGTTGCATGGATCACTGCAACAGCCGATGATGTCGGCACCTACAGCAGATGGAACTTGGTCACAGCAACCTCTGACCTCATCAGAGGCCAGTGTCTGGCTGCGTGAATTGCTTGGGCCCTGGACACCGTCGTCAATCCAAAAGTTGGCGACCCACTCAGCTAAAGCTACAATTTTGTCATGGCTTGCAAAGGCCAATGTTGACATCTCACTCAGACGCCTGGCTGGGTATCATGTGACCCCTGGAGACAAGAGCGCCCTGGAGTATTCGAGAGATGCTGCTGCACCAGTACTGCGTCAGATTGAAGCACTTTTCATCGCAGTACGGGCTGAGATTTTCCAGCCAGATCTGCCTCGATCTCAGCGTTGGTCAGGAGCTCATTCACTGGATGATGCAGTGAAACTTGCAGCAGTTCATTTGAATGCAAATCACTCTTTGAATGTCAGAAAGCCATACTTCAGTGCTTCTCTTTTTGACCTGGAAGCCAGTGAGATGGATGACGTTGAGTCGGGACCTCATGAGTCAGAATCATTTCAGATGTCTTGCAATTTCCATGATGAAACCACTTTAGATGAGTTGAAACGTCACACCTTGGAGACTGGTTTTGAGCAGACCTTTTCTTTTGAGTCTGGTGACGTGAGTGATGTCAGCGATGCAGCTGAATCGGCAGAATCATCGACAGACTCAGACAGCCAGTCTGATGACATGGAACGTCAAGCAGTTTTGAACGGCGAGAAGAACGCCAAAGACTTGGTTCCACCCTCAGATTTGGCAGGCAAAACTTGTTTCAAACATGTCAAGTCACACAAGCTTCATTTTGTTGAGCGCTGCAAAGATGGTGTGATGATTTTTAGATGTGGCCGTAGATGCAATGACAATTATGTGAAGTTGGCAACAGTGCCAGCGTTTGCAGCACGTGGCTGCATGACTTGCTTTGGGTGGAGCGACAAGATTGATGACGAAGTTGGCAGCCCAGATGAATGAGCTGTCATTCATTTGTGTCCTGTTCATGTGGCAAGTTCTTTTGTGATGTGTTCAGTGAACGTTGCTGCCTTGTGACTCTTCACATGTGCATGTCATGCAGTGGCAATGACCATACAATGCGTTACTGCAATGTTTCCGAAGGGAAAATCCGTTGCCGTCTGCTGCATTCAACTTCACTTCAGTTAGTCATTCTTTTTATTTTGAGTTTCGTTGCCATTCACATGTGTTTTCGAAGTTGAGGCATCAGGTCTGAGGTCAGTGCCATTTTGTGCATCATTGTACCTTGTGTGAAGCCGACTCAAGTGTCAGCACTCAATGAAGATTGAGATCATGATGCGTGGTGTGCCTCAGCTGGACTCAAGTGTCCAATCAAGGTTGAGTCCTTGGTGAAGTTTCATTGTCAGAATGTCCATGCCTCTCAATTCTGATTTCAATGAACGCGAGTTGCAAGAGCTTACATTTGATGTCATTTATGCTGTGCATTGTTTGAACATTTATTTTCTGTGCACCTCCGTTTTCTCTCAGCGCCAGCCATGTCATATGTTGACAGTCAGAGCGTTTTCAAAGCAAGATGCGATGAGATAAAGATCTCAGCGTCGACGTACGAAGAGCTGCACAGAAAGGGTTGGTCAACCTTTGGAAGTTACGCCTTTTCAGTGACGACCAATCCTGGCCAGTTGACAGATGATGATTTCGATACAAAAGTTGCAGTGCCTATCCTGGGCAGTTCAAATGCTCCGGAGTCGGCGTTGTTACGCCGTTTGCTCTTCGAATCATACACCCTGACTGCAACTGAGCTGAAGCGCAAAGCAGACAATACAGAGAGTGATGCGCCGAAGAAGCTCCCCATACAGGAGATAGCGGCTAGGTTCACGGCAATTGAGAAGAAGCTTCAGCCCTTGAAAATCGAGAGTGTGCTTGAACCAAGCCATGCGTTAGTGAACGCTTTGGCGCAATGTGCAGAGGACGGTCGCTTGAGGTACATTGAGTGGTCTCGTTGCACTACGAGGTCGTCAGAGGTGAACAATGTGAAAGAACAACAGAGCCTTAAGGTTTGGAAGGCCGATGCATCTGGAACAATAAAACAGACGGAGGCCGACTCCAATCTCAAGTGCGAGGTCTCATCAGAACTTGAAGTGATGAACGCCATGAGGAGGCGTGGGATTGCATACGAGCTGGCAAACCTCATGAGTTTTGAAAAGCATGAGTTGATAGTCAACATGTTGTTCGCAGAGTTGCAGAGGGAGCCAATGGATGGTTTCAGGAAGCTCTCCATGGGCCAACTTGCAGCCGCAGACCGTGAGATTCACCTGAAGTTGTCTGAGAAGACACGAGCGGGCCTACCACTTGGGCCGGCGGGTGAACTTCCCCTTGATGTCCATGTGGAAGCTGTCTTGGAGATGCCTGCCATCATGTGGCTCCTGATGCAGAAACCAAAGACAAATGCAGCGGTGGACAAAGCACCGGCTCCTGTCAACCCTCAGCCGAAGCCCAAGAACAAGCCATGGTCACCACCGAAAGGTGGCAAGTTTGACAAGAAGAACCGCCGCTTGTCGAAGACACCAATGCCAGCTCAGCTACGAGGAGGCACTCCGGTAGATTCAGATGGAAGGTCGATTTGCTATGGATACAACCTTGGGACCTGCCACGACAAGCAGTGCAAACGTGGCCGACATGTGTGCTGCCGTCCAGGCTGTTTCTCCTCCTCACACAACTTCCTCAACCACGACAAGGCAAATTGACTAAGCAAGCAGCATGGCTTGCCAGGTCAGACAAGGACCGAAACAAGTGAGGTCGAAAAGCCGGCTTCTGTCCCCACTTCTGCAAAGGCAGCACCGGGGATTTTTCCTTCAGTGGATATCATCCAGGATGAACCTGTGTCCAACGTTGCAGTCGAAGGGCTGGCAACGCCTTTTACTAGTCAGCGAAGGTCAGCTGACACAAGTTTTGGGGGTGAGCCCCCTTTTGCATGCAAGGGCGAAGGCCCTAGTCCAGCACTGGAGGGCGCGAAGGCGCCACCTTTTCTTTTGGAGCTTTTCTGTGGAACTGCAGGAGTGTGTGCTCAGTTTCGTACGCAAGGTGGAAGGGCCTTGGGTGTGGACCATCACTTGAAGAGGGCCAAACTAAAAGCTGCAGCCGTTCAACTGGATCTGACCCAGCAGTGGGTACAGGATCTCATTGTGAAGGAGATCACACTTGGCTGCGTCTCAGGCATACACCTGGGCCCACCTTGCGGCACAGCGTCCAAGGCCAGGAACATCCCAATCAAAAGGAAACTTGTGAAAAGAGGAGCTCCAAACCCTCAGCCTTTGAGGAGCTCTGCATACCCATTGGGATTTCCATGGCTGAAAGGGCTGAACAAAGTAAAAGTGCAAGCAGCAAACTGCTTGTACGAGTTTTCAGCCAACCTTGTGATGCTGTGCGAGAAATATGATGTTCTGTTTACGGTGGAGAACCCTGAGAACTCCCTGATGTGGGAAACTCCATTTTTCAAACCTCTTTTGCAGCGTTTTTATTTCCATGTCATTGATGCCTGTGAATACGGTTCCGAGCATAAGAAGTCCACTGCATTCCTGGCCAACTTCGATGCCCCTAGGCTCAAACAACGTCGTTCTGGCGATCACAGTCATGCGGCCTGGAAGGTCAGGCAACTTGAATCAGGTGACTGGGCCTTTGATACGGCCAAAGCAGCCGAATATCCCAGCAAATTAGCACATGAGTTGGCTGCCTCTTTTCTGGAAGAACTGGCAAAACGTGGAGACATCTATTTGCAGGATGAAGTAGTTGACCATGCAGTGAAAATTTCGGCTGAATCACAGCCAAGACGTACGAAAGGGCCACTCCTCCTTTCTGAGTTCAAGTCGAAGGTGGCCATAGAATGTGTGGAAGATGACAATCCGCCACTTTGCATTCCAGAGGATGCAAAACCACCGTGGCAGGGCATTCCTGTTGGTGCAAAGAGACTTGACCTACAGCCGGTTAGTGATGGAACAGGGGGTAGTGGCCGTCTGAAGGCAATTTACGGGGTTTATTTTTCCCCTCAGGAATTTGTGCAGCGTGTGCAACAACTGACACATCCATTCGATGTGCCACTCCCTTTGGATGAGTCAAACATGGAATCGATTGTTTTCATTTTGGAAAGAGGTCCTGCTGGAGTGGCAAAGCACAGGGCGGACATGCTGCAGCATTACATTGGGCGTGCAAGAGCTCTACAACAAGACGAGTTAAAGTTGCACGAGACGCTGAACGAGTCAATTCAACCGGTGATGGCGACTAAACGCCTCTTGCTGTTCAAAGAAATGATGGCTGATGCGGGTGTAACAGATCCCTTGCTTTTTGAAGAGCTTTGCAATGGTTTCAGGCTGGTAGGTGATTTATCCCCATCTGGTCAATTTCCTCCGCAGTGGAAGCCAGCAGTGCTAGGGATTGAACAGCTCAGACAAACTGCAGTCTGGGCTCAGCGTGCAGTGGTTGGGTCGTGCAAACGGGTCCTAGAAGATTCAGAGATCGCTGCAGCAGTTTGGCAAGAGACGATGGAGCAGGCAGCAGAAGACAAGCGTTGGGTCAGAGGTCCATTTTCTTCTGAGGAAATTACTGCAAAGCATGGGAAGCACTGGATCCCATCAAGGCGCTTTGGAGTGCGCCAAAGTGGAAAGATCCGCTCAGTGGACGATTTTAGTCAATTCTTAGTGAACTCCACAGTTACATGTCATGAGAAGATCGACTTGGAGGGCATTGACCATATTTGTGCGACAGCCCGCTTTTTCCTTGGAGCTATGAGAGACGAGCATCGTTGGCGCATTCCTGGTGAAGATGGTGTTTCATCTGGGTCTATAGCAGCAGAGTGGCGTTCAACGAAGTCCAGGGACTTGGTCGGGCGCTGCTTGGACTTAAAGCATGCCTACAAGCAATTAGTGCGGAATCCTTGTGACGCATGGGCGTCGATCCTTGCTGTGGCAAATCCAGAGGACAACAATGTCTACTACTTCGAAGCCATAGCCCTTCCCTTTGGATCTGTTTCTTCAGTCATTGGTTTTAACCGTGCTGCAAGAGCCTTGCGTATGATTTTGACACGTTTGTTCAAGCTTGTGGTTACAAACTTCTTTGACGATTTTTGCCAGATCGAGCTGGCGCCTATTTCCGATGGAGCATGGAAGACGGCAGAGTTGGTGCTCAGTTTGCTTGGATGGAGAATCTCCATGGGAGATGAAAAACGAAAGGCCTTCTCGAAAAGGTTCGAGATATTGGGGGCTATTGTGACCTTTCCCCCACCAGGAGGTGAGACCATAGAAGTCACGAACAAGGAGTCCAGGCTTCTGCAGTTGAAACAACAGGTGAATGAACTGAAAGGCTTCCTGAAAGCCACTGCCCCACGAGCGATGCTGGAATCGCTGAAGGGGAGGCTCCTCTATGCAGCAGGCCACACATACAGCCGAACGACACAACTGGCCTGTCAGCTCCTCCACAAATTTGGAGGTCAAGGACCGTCGGTTACAGTGACGCCGGAGTTGGTCCACGTTGTCTCTGAGGCTCTTTCTTTGCTGATGGAGGCCAAACCGAGACTGGTGCAATCCTGGTCCGAAGTGCCGCCCATATTGTTATTTACCGATGGTGCAGTAGAAGATTCGCTGAAATCAGTCACCCATGGCGCTGTGCTTGTGGATCCTTGGAAACAGCAGAGCTTCTTTATGGGAGATAACATACCAAGCGACTTCGTGCAGCTTTGGACGAGGTCAGGGAAGAAACAGGTCATCGCCCAGGCCGAGATCTTTCCAGTCGTTATTGCGAAAGCGACATGGAGCACAGCTTTGGAAGGTAGAAGCATTTTGTGGTTCCTTGACAACGAGAGCGCTCGGATGTCCTTGGTGAGAAATTTTTCCCCAATTTTGGACAGTTTTTTCCTTCTGCAACTGAATGCGCGTATGGACGTTTGCGTCCAATCCAGAAACTGGTACAGCAGAGTGCCATCAAAGAGCAATCCATCAGACAGTGCCTCTAGGCTCCAATTTTCGGAGTATCGAAACTCTGCCAGGTCAGTTCCTGACTACTCAATTGCTTTGAAAGCCCTGGAGGACTCTTGGAAGCTGGTTGGATTGATTGAAAGGGGGAGTTGAGCAGCTCCCAAATGTTTGCAAGGTTTTCATTTCCGTTTTCGCCAATTTTCAGTTTGAGTTCACGGTCATGGGACAACAAATTTTGCAGAAGTGCAATGCGTGTGAATTCTTTGGAAATCATTTTGTTTTCAAATGCAGGTGACAAAGAGTCACCGTCAAATGAACGTTGTTGGCGACTGAGTGAACGCACTCATTGGAATCTCCCCAATTAACAAAGCTGGACAAAAAGTCAAATATTATAAAGTGCGAACTTTAAGAAGTTCAATTACATTTTGAAATGTTTTGTAAGCGCGCTTTCCCACGTCACGCGATAAGGACAATTTCACCGTAGGTGATGGTTCTTTATCGAAAGAAAAGTGGGATTAAGAATTTTTGAGTGTGCTCAAAAATTTCACGCGCTTACATGTTTTAATTTGTGCCTTGAAAGCAAGGACACAAAAAAAACAGTGAAACAAATCTCAAACGTTTGAACACCACTGTCGTTGTTGTTTCAGTTGCTGGTATCTAATGCCTTTGTTTAGTCTTTAAGGCTTTTTAGGTACCAGGTTTTCTTCTGTGAAAACTTCCAACCAACTAAAACAACAACTTGGTTTTAACGTCCCTCGTTTTCATGTTTGGTTGTGTCCAAATCATGTTTGTGTTCAACCGCGCTCGCCTCAAACAGTTTGGGTGGGTGGTGGGAGCAACTGTTTTCCACTTGTAGGAACTCGCGACCCGCCCAGTACCCACCCCGCGAGTAGCAGGGGAGTTGAGCAGCTCCCAAATGTTTGCAAGGTTTTCATTTCCGTTTTCGCCAATTTTCAGTTTGAGTTCACGGTCATGGGACAACAAATTTTGCAGAAGTGCAATGCGTGTGAATTCTTTGGAAATCATTTTGTTTTCAAATGCAGGTGACAAAGAGTCACCGTCAAATGAACGTTGTTGGCGACTGAGTGAACGCACTCATTGGAATCTCCCCAATTAACAAAGCTGGACAAAAAGTCAAATATTATAAAGTGCGAACTTTAAGAAGTTCAATTACATTTTGAAATGTTTTGTAAGCGCGCTTTCCCACGTCACGCGATAAATAAGATGTCATCATGCATGTAATTCCCATTGCTGGTTGCGATCCCACTTCTCTCTGTCGTTTTTGTTTGGTTTTGGTTTTGGTTGTGTGTTTTTCCTGTTTTTGCTGTGTTGTTTTTGGTTTGCTTTCTTGTTCTCTTGTTCTCTTGCTGGGACAGTTTCTGGACTGCGTACTGGTCCACAACCGGCACTTTTGTGGCTTTCGACAAGGTGACAGCCCTGCATGTAAACTACAATTCAACTGTTTGCCGCGATTGAATGTGTGTAACGACCTGGCGGAAGCCATGAAGGCGTTGGACGGAAAAAAAACCAGTGGCAGGTGAGTGGAGTTTGTTCTAGATTCTTTAACTGAACCCCTTGGCTGCGACGATGCAATGCACTGCAGGGTATTGCACTGGGACGAAGACACTCGGGAAGCACCTGAACAGTTCTGCAGTTTATTTTGGAAAGCAGGCCGGGTCATGACATAATGTTTTGCTGACTCTGCATGTTGTGACAGGATTGTTCTCCCCTTCAACCTGGCACGGTATTGTCTACCCAGAATGCACTTGGTGAGTGGCGGAGTTTGACTGGTCACGTACCTTGCCTTATGGCTGTCCCAGCTACCTGCCACGGAGCTGCTCCCCCCCGTAAGGGGGGCGGCACACTTGCAATTTGGCTGCCAACAATTTACTCTTCCTGCTTCTGAACCCACCGTTCTGTACACGGCAAACACTGTTCGTCTTGAACTGAACACCTGAGCAAGAACTTGTGAGAGGACTCTGAGAGGCTAGATTGCTTTTTTTCCGTCCAACGCCTTCATGGCTTCCGCCAGCTAGGTCGTTACACACGTTCGATCGTAGAAAAAGATGAATTGTAATTATCGTGCACGGCTGTCAATTTGTCGATAGCCACAAAAGTACTGACTGGTAGTGGACCTGTACGCAGGCTAGATTGCAATAGTGTACAGCTAATGCTTTCTTTTGTTGTCAGTCAGCAACAACAATTAAGAAGCGTGTTTCACTTTTCTGGGTAGCAACCAAGTGCATCTTTTTGTGAGTTGCGACACAGTGGCTTTTCACCACTGTGTCCATGGCAAATCTTGGTTGTGTTTGGTTTTGTTGGGCCCTGCCCCGTTCGCTTTTTGCTTTGTTTCTTTGCTGGATGGCGAAGCGCATATCTGGCTGGGGGATTTGCGTTTCGCCCTTTGTGGTTTGTGTTTGTGTTTTGTTTGTGCTTTTGATTTGCCATCTTACATGACCACAGGTGTCTTGTAGACGTTATTTTAAACTGCTTCTTCTCATATAAGGACCGAGCCTTAGAGCGTGATCGGCCATACCAGGAGGAGAAAAAAAAGAGAGTTTTCTTTGCGTTCGAGGGCAGAAGTGTCTTTCTTTCGCACTGAGTTTTTTGGTAAATACAGTTCGTACAAGGCGTATGCAGGTGTTGCCCAGGCGGGTGACATCATTTGCCAGATGTTGGACTGTCAAGGGTTCGCAAGATGATTGAAACTTTGCCTGCAACTGTGTCCAGGCTTGGACTTGAGATCCAAACAAGTGATCTTACCATCATGCTTCTGCGTTCGTTGCCACATGATGTTCGTTCATACAGCACTTTCATGGGCGGGTGATGCTTGCACGACTTTCGCACTGCAGCGTTGCGTTTTTGCGCATGTTTGCTGAGATCGGAGGTCCTTCATCATCAGGTGCACGAGGTGTGCATGCACTAGAAGGTGCTGAAACCGCCGAGGAGTGGTGGGGCTACAATCAGGAAGGTTAAAACGGTTACGACAACTTTGAGTATGCCCGGGAAGAAGATCCTGATGATCAGTGGGAATGGGATGAAGATGCACAGGTTTGGATCAGTGCTGCCGTTGCTAAAGGAAAGGGAAGTCCCAAGAGCAACGTGAAGTGTCACTTGTGTGGGCGTCGAGGCCGCATGACATGGCGAAGCAGTGCAAGGCAGACATGTTTTCATTGCTCGAAGTTTGGCCACATTGGTGCACAAGGTCCTGACAAGCCCAAGAGCTCATCGGGGAAACAGCAAAAGAAACCCCAAGCCGAAAGGTGGAAAGAGCAAAGGTAAAAGGCTGATGCCGCGAATCTCTGCAGTGTAACACTTTGATGATGAGTGGAGGTGGTGGTTGATTGACAGTGGAGCAGCTGTCTCAGTGTTGTCTGAGCAGTTCAAGGCGTTCTACAAGTGCAGCGCTGAAGAGCAGGTGATGGACACCTACTATGCAGCCAATGGGTCTGCAGTCGCCATGCGAGGTGAGACTCAGGTGACAGTTGCATTTGAGACTGGAAATGGTTGAAAGAAGCCTCAGATATTTCGTTATACATTTTTTTTTGGGGAATTTATGGTGATTCTTCATTTATAGCGGTTGGGAATGGTTTGAGTGCACAACATCATAATTCATGGTTGATGGATCGCGCAGGTCATGTTCTTGGACACCCACAGTGCAACAGATTCGCACCGAGCACGCAGGCACGGGCCTGGCTGGCGCACGGTGCATGCAAGGTTTATAGATGACAAAACTCTAATCCTGAGGCAACTTCCGTTCCGCCTCGTGCGGGTATTATTGGTAGCACTTAGGAATGGTTTGAATGCACTACATCATGATTATCATGTTGCATGGTTGATGGATATAGACTGTTTCATGAAACTCATCCCGTGACAAAACTTTCAATGCACACGTACAAGGTTTTGGGTTGGTTGAACTCAAAGTATTATTTTTTCACTCGTTTTCGTGTTCTAAGTAATCTTTTTTCGGCGTTCCAGGGTCGCCCCCCAAAAATCTAAGAAACGCCCGTGCGGCGGTGCGGTGACTGAGTCAGCCTTCAATTGCAGGAATTTCGATTTCGTCGACGGGGTTTGATTGTTTCAAGCGTGAAAATTATTGAAACGATGCGATGTTGGGTGAAATTGTTTGGCGGATTTGTTTTTCATTCTATGGGAAATTGGTTTGGCCCTCCCGGTTTTTTAAAGAAACGTGGGCGGGTTCCTCGCATTTGCCGCCGACAAGGAGGTGAATCCAAAAAATCGATGTTTTGTCAGAACAATTTCTTTCCGCTGCGCCATTTCTGTATGTTGCCCAGCTCAAAGACATCGGCGGGGGTATTCCATTCACTACGGAAAATATAGCAAACCAATGGTTTAAGATCTAGTTTTGAAGTGCCATCGTTACGGTTTTTTTGGTTGTTTATCTCATGAAACTTAAATTTTATGTGATAGCCAGTGATCGTTTTTCCTGCATGTTTTTTTGTTTCAAAACCAATTTAAACATTTAGTTCAGCTTTGCAGTTGGTCAGTGTGGCTGCAGTTTTTTGCTGGTTATGTTTGCCCATGCCGCATCGAAACAATCACGACTCCGGGCGCAATATTTCGCTTGGCACAGGCAACGTTCACAAAGGCGCGGCCAAGTGTAGAATATCCAGCGGCATGTTTTAGTGATAATAATTTTACAGTGGTTGACATATTTTCAAAAATGTTCTAATACTTATCAAGAATGTCCATTCGGTTCCAGCGAGTGATCGTGTATTTTTTTGTTGCATGTCTCTGGTGTTGGTTGTTTTGTTTTTTTGTTTGTTATGTTGTTGCCTGTTGATTTGTTTCTTGTTGGTTTGTTCATTCATGTGTGAAGCAAACCATGGAAAATTTTCCACATATATATAAGGAATTGGGTTACGTCTTGGGTGATTTGTTTTACTTGGAACTATTGGGAAAATACCAGTTCCACACATAGTTTGCAACTGTCGTTAAATTAATCATTGGAAAACCAGTAGCAACTGAACAAACAACATTGGTGTGCATGGCAAACCAAAGGCGAAAAAAATGTTGGTCGGTCACCAGTTGTGGTAGGAATTGGGCGAACAAAACATGTGGCGGGTGGCACGTGTTTTGCAATCGGTGGAATGAGGCTGGGTCATGCTGAGTTTGCTGTGTTTGTGACGGTAAAACAGCGTTAAACACCACCATGGATTTTAGTGTCAGTGTCACGCAAAAATGTTCAACACAATTTTGTTCACAGGGGGGGGTTCAATTTTTGGACAGTTTGCAATGTCAAACAAAGGCGATCGGCAGAAGACCTTTGGCTATGGCCGCGCCACAGAATTATGAAGCGCTGAATTGCTGAGTTGTAATTCAAAACGGAAATCTTCGTAAATCAAGTTGGTTTGTACTTTTTTAAGTGACCTGTCACTTGTGTTTCGCGGCTTAGGTTGTGTTTTTCAATGCAACGAACACTTTGACATGGGTGACAACGCTCGCAGCTCTTTCACGCTGCATAGCGCAATCGCACTTGCAAATAGCTCCAGATTTTGCTGTGTCGCGGCTGGGTTTGTGGCTTGAGAATGTGGGGCAGTTTGGGGATTTTGGGGGATTTGGCAGTCTCACTGAATTCAATTCCACCCAACTTGAACATTTTGTGAAACATTTGAAATCATTTCCAGGGTACAAAAAACAAAATGCGAACAGTGCATACGTTCCCTTTCAAGGTTGGATGGCTTGTTATGCGTTCCACAGTGAAACTGCGACAGCCTTTGAATCTTGCGCTGGCCGCTGGACTCTCAAAGTTGGCACCATCGCTGTCAATGCTGAAGGTCACTTTGGCTACTGGGGAAAGCGCTGTTGCTAGGATAGTTGACTCTGTGCCTAAGATTGAAGTTGACATCAATATTCTTGCCGGAAACATGTATCAGATAATCGGGCACGACATCAATGAGAATTTCGAACAGTAAACTGTCTGCTTGGGATCTAGCTTGGGCGACTAATGGTTTCAGTTGAATTTTTATATGCTCAGGGCATTGACTGCAACATTCCTTGGCATCCATCTGTGCTTTGTGAGCACCTTCGGACTTGTGTAGTGCAGGTTTCACCTTTGCTCACAGTGACTTGGCTCAACCTGATTGGATTCAATGCAAATCTGGGCAAAATTTACAACACAGAATGCTCGAAGTATGCACTAAGCACAAACCAGTCTAGTGAAGAGGAAACTGAACAGCATTGGAAAACAACATCATGAAGTAACACCGTGAGAATCACGAACCACTGGTTTGCCAATTAGGGTGACAAATATAATCCCTGGCAGCAAGAGAGGATGAGTCACTCATGCACACAGCAGCTTACTGAGTTTACGTCAAAACTCCACAGGATCCTACAGGTCTCCATGTCCTGAAGAATGCTGAAAATTGTTTGGCCAGCATATTTATCTCCGAGGCTTTTGCGACAGACACCGACACTCGAAACATGGCAACGTCTGCATGGGCAAAAATTTTTCGATGCCGGCTTCTTGGCGTTCGAGGGAGGAGCATTCTGCGAAGATCTCTGCAAGATGGGGCAAGATTATTCAGGTGGGCTGAAGGTCCTATTGATCGTTGCGGACTGGCGTTCTTTTTGAGCTGCAAATTCACCAATATTTGCATCCTATGTGCTACCACTGAGCCTTAGCATGCAAAGATGCTGAATGTTGAAAGTGTGGTGGTTGTGGTCAGACTCGCAGGCTTTGTTTTGGAACCTGAAAATTGATGGCAATATGTAGTATAATACCCGACCAGAGCATTTTGGTAATTGATCTATTTGGGTTGAGTTGGTGCTGTCCGTGCTAAGCCTCACAGTTTCAACACTAAAGACAATGAACCGCAATCACCTTTGCTGGTCTTTGCTAGTATGCCTTCAGGGTGGTTTTCATCTTTTCTTGCACGCTGCAGTTTGGCCACTTGTGGACAAGCGACGATATTCAAAGAATGCAAAAGAGTTTACCGCACTCAGATGTACGAGCATAAAGATACAGTACCGTTTCGATCGTGGATTTACTAGTTGTAAAGGCCAGTCTCATTTGTCTCTGATTACAAATATGCAGAGTACGTACGTCCATACACGGATACACATACATTTATATATGTATACACATATACACACGTAAGTATGTATAAATTTACACAGAAACGCATATACATACATGTACATATGTACATATATATATACATACATACAATATACACAATAATATATGTATATAAATATATACATAGACATATAGACATAAACAATAAACATACATGTGCATGAGAAGGGTTTGCATTCCATTAGATGACATCATATACATTGCTTCAGTTTCCTACAACTGCACCACATAAAGTAAACTAACTTGCGTTGGCTAGCATCAAAGATATCGATTTTGATCGAAGTGCATTGCGGATTTTGCATACATTGCGTGCTTGCACTACGTCCAGTACAGTACGCACATTAATCACAAAACACATAGTACCCAAGAGACATTGCAAACACTTTGGATTACAGGCACCGACAGAATTATGGAACTGAAAAAAGGTTCGCGCGCCGCAGGTATCGGAAAAGGTTCGGCACCGAAAAAAAGATTGAATCGGGCCGATGAGACCGATCAAGACTGGTCAACGTCCAAAATTAAATAAAAAAACAAGGCTGAGACAAATGTCCACAAAAGCCTCTAATTCACTATGGGAATTTAATTTTGGAAATCTCACTTTTCGGATCCTGATCCTCCAAAAAAAAAGGTGAGACAAATGTCTACAAAAGCCTCTAATTCACGATGTGAATTTCATTTTGGAAATCTCACTTTTCGGATCCTGATCCTCCAAACTACCTGGTTTAAAGTGTTTTTGCATGATTTTGGGACTAAATCCAGATTCAGTTTTGGGATCCTTATCCTCCAAACCAGCTGGTTTCCAGTGTATTTGCATGATCTTGTTACCATAGATTATGCACTGTAGCCACGGCAAAAAAAAATATGGAACCATGTCAATAGAAAGGTTGTCACCATTTCATATAAAAATTAATTATGGAAATGGTCCAATTCCAAGAAGCACCCTCACATGGGAAAAAAATATGGAAGTTTACCTGCAGGACACCCATGCCCCATCGCAAAAGGCTCGGGAGACACGATGAGAGAGATTTTAGATTTCTGCATTTTTGCAAGTAAAACAGAACTATGGAAATATACGGCCCGACGCGACGCAATTTTTTTCCGACCCATGCCCAAACCTTAGGTTTGGGAGGCTTTGGCGCAGCCAGGTCAGGTTCAACAGGGTTCCGGACAAGGTTCCGGAGAAGGTTCCGGAGAAGGTCTGGGAGGCTTTGGTGCAGAGCCAGGTCAGGTTCAACAGGGTTCCGGAGAAGGTTGCGCAGAAGGTCTGGGAGGCTTTGGTGACTTTGGTGCGGAGCCAGGTCCAGGTTCAACAGGGTTCCGGAGAATGTTTTGGAGAAGGTTCCGGGAGGCTTTGGTACAGAGCCAGGTCAGGTTCAACAGGGTTCCGGAGAGTGTCCGGAGAAGGTTCCGGGAGGCTTTAAGAGGCTTTGGTGCAGAGCCAGGTCAGGTTCAACTGGGTTTCGGAGAAGGTTCCGGAGAAGGTCCCAGGAAGCCTTGGTGCAAAGCCAAGTCAGGTTCAACAGGTTCCGGAGAAGGTTGCAGAAGCCAAGGCAGGTCAGGTTCATTTAACTCACGGAAACCCAGCTGAGGTGTTTCCAGCGCTTGGCTTCGCAGTACGCTTCAGAAAGATTTGTAAAAATGAAACGTTGCGGCTGTTGGGGATACCACCGAAGCTTATTTTCATTTCCATAATTCTGTCGGTGACCATAGATGCATTGCAACTGCTACAATGCAGCACAATGCATTACAGAACAGTACTCAGTACAGAATGCTAATACATACTGACAGATGCATTCAGAAATACCAATAGGAAACAAAGGTATTTGCTAACCTCTGAATCTATACATGCGTGGACATGCATGCACAGTGGACATGCGTGCGCGGACACACACACACACAGTGGTCAGGGGTGTGAAACTCCTGCTCACCTATGGCCACTTGGCTCAAGAACATTCAAGAACCCTTTACTGCAGTCCGCCATTCACACAAACGTGCGCGATGCCACAAACTGCTAATCCAGTTGATACGGTGAGGGACATCACATGATTTCACTTCAACATCACAATCAGAGATTTATAGTGCAACAACCCTTGGGAATTCTTGATTCACACAGATTCACACAGTATATGTATATATATATTATATATATAAACGATATATATATATATATATATATACACACACACCTACATTCACAACTACGTATCTAACTATTGCATGCCCATTCACAGTGCAAGTAGTGCTGCCCGTTTGCTGGATCGAAAGAAGGTTTTATTTTGCAGGTACAGTAGAAAATAAAGTATTTCAGATGAATAGATTGGGGTAGGGGTTGGGGGTTACACATACCTCCATCTAACATGATCTATGATGCGTTCTTGCGTCAACACATCATTCTACATTATTGCGAAAACACTTGAGTGGCTGACGTGAACACTGCCTGAGGCTGCTTCGATGCGCGGATTGGATTTGTCATCATTTTGCGATTTCGGACATTTTCAGAAGGCAGTGCTGTTGCCTTCCAGCTGGTGTTCCAGAATCTTGTTGCATGTGCATGTCCTACAGTCTTTTCATGTTGAATGATTTTGACAACTACAGGATGCAGGATTGTTGGCCTGTACAAGCCTCGTGAATGCCGTTTTCGTGGCTTTGGCACAGTTAGCAGTTAGCCTCGGACTTGATGTATACTATCAAGTCACTGCCAAAAGAGTCAATTGTCATTTAAAAAGATATAAAAACACTTTCGTTTTGGTGAGTCAAGCCATCTTGTTGGCTCTTTTGCTGAACGCATCGAAGGTACCCATGCACTTCTATGGCGCAGTTGGATCACTTCGAGTCATCGAAAGTTTGGCAGCGCGTGCTTGGCAAGAGCTTGCCGAGGCGTATCATTCATTCCATTGATTTGGTACGGAATTTGCACCTGTTTTTAGTCAGTGTTCAACCAACAACATGGTTCGGGTTCCAACTTGCACAGATTTTGTTCTTGTGGCAATAGCAATTCCAAGTTAACTTGACACAAAGAGTTATTGCTGTTAAGTTAATGCTGTCTAGGTGCATGCAAGTGCAGTTCCCTTGATGGGTTAGACAGTTAGACCCAGTTTTCAGGCTGCAAGGTTCTTTGCGTGCTTGTACATGCATTTAAGGCGTGGTCCTAATCTGGGTAGTTTTGAAGTCTTGCATGCTGTGGGCTGTGGGTGTGCCCTTTGTTAAATCTAAGGAGGGCATTTGGAACTGTTCTCCCAATATTGCCAGACCTTGGCTTGTGTCATTTGATGTATGTAATGTTGCCGTTTCCATAGAGTTGCCTCCTCTTTCCCAGATATTGCTTCGTGGGTGCTGTTCTTGTTGCAATTGGAGCGGTTCTGTTGCATTTTTCCGTAGTCCCATCGAGGTTTTGGACCACTGTCGCCCACAATTTTTTGCTGTCAATTGTCGTTGCGCTACGTTGCGCTTCCAATGTTGTTCTTTGCTCCTGTTGCTCCTGTTGCTCCTGTTCTTTGCTCCTTGTGCTTGACTGGTGTCCTCGTTGAGATATTGGTCGTTGGCCATCAAGATCAGTGCGATTCGTGTTTTCCAAGCTTACTCAGAGTGCCATTCTGTGGACCGTTGATTTAGAACAGACGAGATTTCCGCTGACTTGGCTCTTGAATCCATCAGTTTTCGAAGTAGTTTCACATCCTTGAAAGCGTTGTAGCACCAAACTTTGCCTTTGATATTGCCTTTGATACCACAGGCTACAGGGTCATGTCTGCAAGTTTTTAGTCAAGGTAGGCAGAGCTTCCTGAACTTGACACCAGATAAAGGAAGAATCAACTGTAGAGAATGCATGTGATTCCTCAATACTTGACAAGTTCCAGAATGTCGACTGATGATACACATGTACGTACAAAGTTTATGTGAAGCAGACGTTCACAGGGTGCGTTGCCTGTGGGTCCAAGTTTGGTAAACTATATTGAAGAGAACCAAACTTGCATTGATTTCTGGAGCACCCTCGACAGTGCGTCTTGTCAGGGTTGCAATGCACTGCCTTCCAAAACAAAGGCACCAAAGTGGTCAAAGTGGTCCAGGTAGTCAAAGTGATGGTTAAAGCGTGTTATTTCTGCGTATTCACAGTAGTACTCAGTAGTACTCAGTGCATTCATTCCTTTTCACATGGGTAGCCTGTAACCTAACTTTGCCATTGCACCTCGGCTCATTTGAGAACAGGTGTGTATAGACTTTGTGCCTGTTGTTGGCTACGTGCATGAACTTTGTGCCTCTTGTTGGCTGTGGAGCCGAGTGTAGCCTCTAAACTCAAAGCGCTTTGCCGCTTTTGAAATTTTTGAAGTTGTGCAGCCTTTTGTGCCAGGACGATCTTGGAAAGACAACTGAGACAACTGAGACAGAGATGACCGAGGAGGTTTTCACCAAGAACTTGATCTCCTTGGCCACAGCTCTCGCAGCAGCTTTTGATTTGGCTGTCACTTTCTATTTGATTTGGCATCTCACTGGCCCTGGCCTCGCTCACCCCTGGATGTCACTTCCTCAGCACATCAGGTTGCCTCTGTAATCAAAAACAAATGGGTTTCTTGCATCTATTTTTTCTAATTTATTTACATTTAAAGGCCTGTGCGCCGCAGGCGTTGATCATTCGCTTTGTGTTGAAAACTTGGAACTGACATTTGCAGGTCAGGACAACCGGCAGCTCCGCTTGAACCTGGAGAGCAAAAAAGGAGTCGTTCGAACTGCTTTCTGACACGATTTTTGTGTGTCAAACGTTGAGACTTTTGCAGGGTAGAATTAAAGCCAGATACGCAGCCACGTGTAAGGATCTCGGAGGCAAAAGCCAGAAATAGACGCAATGCCAGATTTTAACAACGTGAAACTGACTGCTTTAAATTTCGAAACGTGTTTGAAAAGAGAGTCATGACTTGCCGGCTGTCCTGAATTTACTCAATAGCTCGCTCATTCATTCAATAAACATACTGACTCAACTTACAGAGTCAACATGCCAACAGACCGAAAGAAATTAAACAATTCTTGCAACTGCTGGACTTGGTACTCGTAAAGTGCAGGTCTGGAAGGAAGAACCCCATAGACTATAGACGGTGTGTTTATGAAGATCAAGTGTGTCGTGATGGTACAGAGGCAGCTCTGAAGAGCGGCGATTTCGTTTTTGCATGTTGCAGAAGTCCAGCTGTTCCATGATAATGGCTACACCAATGTGTTGGGCGAAATCATTGGATTGGCACTGCTATTGTGTTTGGTGACGGCAAGACAGCGTGCGTAGCTCTGATAGCCTTTGCCACTCAATGCCGTGGTCTTCCTGACTTTTGGAACGGCTGCATCCAGGTTTCGTGTCCTGCATAGTGAGCCCCGCTCGAACTCGAACTCGAACTGGAACCCCCCCCCCGGAAAAAAAAACCAAGCTTTCTGAGTCCGGACTCGCGGTCCATATGCTCGAACTCGAGTTCGAACTGGCGGTGACACAGTTCGAACTCGCGTTCGAACTCGCCCCAGAGCAGTTCGAACTCGATTTTGACCTGGCGGCGTCCGCGTCGAACTCGAACTCGAACTCGAACTCGCACCCCCCCCCCCGGGAAAAAAAAACAAGCTTTCTGAGTCCGGACTCGCGGTCCACATGCTCGAACTCGAGTTCGAACTGGCGGTGACACAGTTCGACCTCGCGTTCGAACTCGCCCCAGAGCAGTTCGAACTCGATTTTGACCTGGCGGCGGCCGCGTCGAACTCGAACTCGAACTCGACCCCCCCCCCGGAGGGGGAAAAAAAACCCTTTCCGAGTATGCATTCACGGTCAAGCTCTGAAAGACTGCGAGCTTGTATTTGCACTCCACCATTAAACCCATGTATGATAGTGGCACGCTGACTAGCATTGCGGCTCAGGTAAAAGTAGCTTGTGCGCCGCTAGCTTAACGGTTTTCTTCCCACTTGTTATAGGTTTATCAGTCTATTTGGGTGTAATAGGAATTACCCCTGCTGAAACCTGTAAATACAGGTTATCAGCCGTAGTCTCGTAAAGCCATGGAAAGGACAACTGGTGACACCTCAGGTGGAGGCGCCCTTGTCCCCTCGACTGGAGCAACGGTTGCAACAACTGGTTCACAACAAAGCTTGCCGGCTGGGACAAACCCCACGCCCATGTCAGTGGATGAAGGTTTCTTCACACAGCCCGTGCAAGCATATTTCCAGTTCGTGCAAAACAATCTTACCTATATCAACGAAGGTAACATTGATGCTTTCAGGCAAGAGGCGGAGGAGAGGCACACACATCTCATGGAGCAAAAGGTCCAGCAACTGTACCAAGAGTTTGAGGGAATTTGCCTTAGCGAAATTGCCCAGCAACGTGCAGAAGCTGATCGCAGACATGAACACCTAGTGTCAGAGTATTCAATGTCCCAAACGGCAACTGAGCATGAGGTAGCAAAACTGAGACAGGAACTTAGCGATGCAAACGCAAAGCTGAAGAACGCTGCAAATGCAGTTGCACTGGAAGCTGAGCAAAGAGCCAACCAAAAGGTAGCCCATGTTACAGCCCAGTATGAACAAAGGTTTTCTGAACTCAGAGGTAGCCTCGAGGCAGACTGTAAACGAAGCGTGGACGAAACAGTGGAGTATGCAAAGAATGGCATGGAAGGTTTCAAGAAGGAGGAACAAGCTGTAATTCAGGAGATTAGAGAGGAATGCAGTAGGCAGGAAAACCAAGCTGCTGAACTCAATTTCCAATTGCAGGGACAAGTCGAGGATTGATGGAGAAGCTCAACAAGTACAGCGCCCCGGAAATCAGTGTCGACAGAGCCGTCGAAGTTGATGATGCACAAGGCGGTAATAATGTCGATTTGTACATGACCCCAAAATCAGCGGTCGGTACCAAGGCTGGAGCAGAACCCATGCCAAACACTGGTATGAGTAGCTTAGCCATGGACGCTAAAGAAAGATTGAGCAACTTGTTCTCAACTACCCCTGCCGGATCAGCAGCCCCTCCAAAACTTCCACCATTGCCAGTTCAAAGACAAAATGATGATGATGCAAACCAAGAGCATAGTGTACCCAGTCCTACAGTTATAGCAAGCGACCCTGGCAAGAAAGCAGCTGAAGCAGGCTTAGGTCTTTCAGGTCAACAACTGCTAGATCTCATCACTAGACTGACTTATGGTGAAAAGCCCCGAACAAAAGAGGCGGAGACTATCAAACTGAACGACATGCCTGCCCCAGAAGCTTATCGTCACTGGCGTAATCATGTCAGGGATGAAGTGAAATCGTGCTCCGACAAACCCGATGAGGCTTGGCTTTGGCTCAATGAAGTCTTTGACAACAAAACCCCTAGGGAAAAGTTGGAGGAAAAGCTGCAGGATCCTGGGAAGTTTATCACACTTGACACCAAATTGTCGGCAGCGTTAACTCGCTCAGCCAAAGGTGATTTAGCGACAAAGATCCATAACTTCAAAGATGAGAAGTCAAAGAAAGGGATCCAAGTCAGAGGTAGGAGAGTCCTTTTGATGTTTGAAGATTACTTCAGGACGTCTGAGGAAGCTGGCAGTCTCTACCGCGTCGAGGACCTACTTGGAGTCGTTCGCACTGGAGAATCTGTGGAGGACCTTAGAAGGTTTTTGAACCGATGGGACGCCACAATTGCCGGCATGGAAACCCCACCAGATGATTTGGTTCTCAGAGACATCTTACTCAGACAAATCCGAAAATGTCAATTGATGAAGTATGACATTGAAGCATTCGACAGAGCTCCTGAAAAGTCAGAACAAAAGTCTTATGCATTCTTGTTGAGAAACATTCGTGATCTTTTGGATAGAGAAAGACTCCGTTCAAACAGAAACAGAATCGTTGAAAAGAACAAGCAGACCGAAAAGCCTCAGCCCGCTGCACCCGCTCAGGGGGGCAAAGATCGCGGCAAAGGAAAGGGCGACCGAGGTCGAACCCGTGGCCGTAGCCAGAGTGGAAAAGGGGACAAGATATGCTACAAATTCAGGGATGGCAAATGTGAAAAGGGTAAAGACTGTCCCTACAAGCATGTCAAAGATTCCTCAAGATCTGGTACCCCCAAAAGAAAGGGTAAGGGCAAAGGTGGTAGCAGAAGTGGTTCCCCCAACAGAAAGTCGAAGGAAGAGATGGCCAAGATCCCATGCACTTACTTCCAACAGGGCAAATGTCGTCGTGGTGACAAATGTTTTTACAAACATGAAGTTGCAGCTGCACCCACAAAGGATCCAAAACGCACCAATAGCCCCGCACCAAAGAAGAAGGCCAGTGCAAAAGCTGCGCCATGCATTACTCAAAGGTATGCATGCATAGCAAAGGGAAAAGGGTTGCCAAAAGCTACAAAGGCCATGAAAGAACAATGCCATAGAGCCGTTGTGTTTTCATCAAAAGTGGAATACATCAAAGTCCCAGCAACAGGTGAACAGAGGAAGGTAGTGCACAAACCCCGAATCTATGAGAAGACGTTCCCTGATTCAGAGTCAGTGCCAAAACCCGACAAACTCGTGGCTCACCGTGCTCAGGTTTCGGCCCGGCAGTTGCAGGAACTTGTGAAGCTCTTCGGCAGTGAGACGCAGCCCAAGTGCCGATTCCGATGCAATGACCCAGAAGGGGGAGTATCATGCAACCACTGTAGAGCAATGATCGGTCCCAAGAACAAAGTCAGTAACACTCATTTGCCCACTGTTGCTACACCTGCATCAAAAGATGGATGTGTTTGGTTGGTTGACACGGGCAGTGAACAGGATTTGATCAGTGAGGGTATGCTGAAGACCGCAAAGGCGACAAACCGCCGTATCAGCGATACTCCGATCAGCCTTGCTACAGCAAACGGTTCGACACGAGCGGATGAGGTGGCCGACGTAAAAGTCGATGCCCTACATCAGCCGTTTTCACCATACATTCTTGAGGAAACTCCTGCTGTTCTTTCGGTTGGGGTCAGGTGTATGGAACAGGGTTACAGTTTTGTGTGGCCAGCTGATGGTAGGCCATACTTCATTCGTCCGGACATGGGAGTCATTGAGCTTAACGTAGACGGCCGTGTGCCGGTCATCGATAGCTCTTGTCGTGTTTTGAACAGTGGACAGTTCAAGAAAGATTGTGATCTGTTACGTCTTTTTGCAATGGTTGCGGCAAAAGCAGAAGGTGCCGACGAAGAAGGCGTGGATGAGGGAGTAGCTCATGATAGCGAAACCGAATACGTCAGGTCTAGAAAGGCATCTGACCTTGAGCAAGAGGCATGCAGTAAGTCTCACCAGTTTTGCCATTACCCCAAGAATCCATTTTGCAAGATCTGTCAGAAGGCGCGCATGATGGCGCCACCCGCAAAGAAGAAAGGGGGACAGAAAAGGTTGGAAACCAAAAGTTTTGGGGATCACATTGTCGCTGACCATACTGTAATCAAATCCAATGTGGAAGAAGGCGTCAAAGGTGAAACAGTGGCATTGGTGATGAAGGACATTCACACTCAGTTCAGACACGTCTATCCAAGCCAGACAAAATCGAGTGAATCATGTGTTAATGCGTTCAACCACTTCTTATCTCACAAGGATGAAGTTGGGGCAGTTTACACTGACAATTCACGAGAGCTTATTGCTACAATTTCAGAATTGGGGTACAGACATCAAACATCAACAGAGTATGTGGACAGTTCAAAGTCGTTTGTGGAGAGGGAGATCAGGCACATGCTTGAAGGCACACGCACAAACCTCGTGCAGTCAGGTCTTCCATTGCAGTATTGGCCAATGGCTATGCAGCATTTCTCCATGGCA